GAGAATGAACATCGTATTTTGTAGAATCTCAGTCGCTACTAGATATACATGCTTACATCATGTTGAATTTATTTGCACCTGTTAATATTGAAGGCTTAATATAATATTTCATTTATTTCGCAAAAAAATGTTAAAATACATAGAAAGGACAAAAAAGTAGAAAGGACAAGACAATACCCTTGTCTATTAAGATTTTATACTATGACATTTTAACTGATTGTAGAAGCTAATTATCTCATATTATGATAGAGATATATTTTATCCAAAAAAAATGTTTGTAGTTAGAATTGGTCTTTTAGTTGATTGAATGGAAATGCTTTCAAATTTTGTTTAAAGTTTACTCTGCTGACAATATTCATTTTCAAAGAGACGTCGAAGCTTAAAATGAAGATGAACGTTTTTAAAATAAAGGAGTACTTTTTACTATCGTCCATTTAATCCTGTCAATTGAGTAGCGTAACATACACTCACATAATAAAGAAATGCTAACAATACTTTATCCAAAGACTAACAGCTATTCAACACGGACTGTTTTAATGTTTCTCGTCTTGAATTGAGATTAATTGTACGAAGATGATGTATTAGTAACAAGTTCAGCTTTGTCAGCAGCGAATAAGCAGGCATTCTTCTCAGATGAGTACGTGGATAACATAGCTAAACTTGAAGATGCTATGAAATGAGTGAGTGATCCGCAACTTGATTATTTCGTGTTTTGATTGCTTTGTGAGGAGCTGAGAGGGTTTTCGAAAACGAGACAATCCGACGTGGATGGGTAGATGCCAACTCTTGATCAGTATTAACCGTATCATTGATTACAGTTGTCAGAATACTTTGTAAACATCATCATTTGCATTCGGTGATTGATGACTTTTGAAAAATTTTTAGTACTTTTGATGAGAAAAGAATTACAGTATTTAGTCCAAAATCCGGATGCTTAAAATATACTAACCTACATAGCCTCGGAGTTGTATATTGTGACTGAAGTATAATCATAACCCATTCTATTACAACATTCCGTTAAAGGATACCGAAATACCATTAAGAAAGTATGTTACTATTAAAACAAGATGTAAGTTAATAAAGATACAAGATTGTTATAATATCCTTAGACAAGACAATAACCATTTCCCCATCCGGTTTTCTTCTTATATACGTTTGTATATGAAAATTGAAGTATTTTTTACTAATATTATCATTTTACATTAATGTTGTGAATGATAAAATGTTAAATTGTTTATAAAATTAATAAAATCTAATTATTTGACCTAAAATTGATAGGTATCGTGTTCTAAATTTACACGGGCAATGCTAATCTTGTATAAAGAAACAAGGTAGTAACTAACATTTATATATCGTTGCACCATAGATTAAAATCAACTTCTTTAAATGAAACATCAATTTTAACTACTCAATTCAAATCCTGAATTTGTCTCATTATCGTTCGGAAACATTTTTGATGATGTGTTTTCCACGCTTGGACTTAATATTAGAAATTTCTACTTGTGTTAATTTCCGGCCCGATTGTACACATAGATAAAGATTTTAAGTTCTGAGAAATTTGATATTGTCAACTTGAGCATGAGAGCACTGAAGGACAGTCATACTCTAGTCGGGATATTGATTACGTGGATTTTTCTCCTTGTTCCTACGTATTAAGGCTGTTCCTGTTTTCAAGCTATCATCTCCGATGTTGACTCATGGATTTTTTTTAGCTTACCTGTAATGCAATATAGTAACTATGTTTTGTTTCACCGTTTATATAGCGCTTTCCAGTGAATGTGCTTTTTAATTTGAAACTATTAACTATTGCACATGCATGAAAAATTAGCCCAGACCATATAATGTATTGGTTTCATACTCTTAATCTTGGGTAGAGAAACACATTCTCTTGTCCAAGGACTCAATCAAATGATCAGAAAGGAATTGAACCCCAACCTTAGAGTTAAGAGGCTAAATTGCAACTGCTGGCCCACCTGCTTCTTTAAAATATTTTCTATATTACCATTGCATTTTAATTATTTAAATTGTTGAAATTCCACTTCAGTATTGGTATTAAAAGTCAACCTCCTCACTTTCCTCCCCTTCCCCCAACCCTTTTAACATGGTGTTGGAAATCATTCTACAGTAGGTAGGCCCTGTTCAATGGAGATCTGTTGTTTTATGCTTGAATTTTAAGGAATCACATATAGTTTAACCATTATAATTCTTGTTTATTTTATTTTGTTATTTTTTTTAAATTTGTTTACTTTATCCTTGAGTTGAATCTATATAATTCTAATCTGTATTTTATTTATAAAAAATTAAGCCACTTGATATAAGATGATACAATTTGATGTACATCTTGCACCATAGAGCAAAGAAACACTTACCTGGATTTCATTGGGATTAATATTATAGGGGATAGGATTCTTTGGAGGGATTACTAGATTATTAATCCGATTATGATAATCTAAACAATGATATATCATTGTTGTACAATAACTACTTATTGTAATTAATAATGTAATGCCATCTAGATATCTTGTGTACTTTCAAATATGCAAAAAATTCACAAAAAATTTTTGAAAAGTAGTACTGTAGAGACAAAATAGGGTTGGAACTATTTCACTATCTGAATAACAATAATTTACTTAAGATAATTGAAGAAACTTCATCTTAATCCAATAATAAATATTAAAATAAATAATTAGTATAATAAATATTGGGTTGTTTTTGGTTGGGTTGTTGCTGATAGAGTATCAGTGAAACGTTGTGCAAGTATGTTTTTTCTTAATATTTTTTATAATTATTAATTAGATCATCTAAAAGGAAACAACAACCCAATAATACTTTACTTGTTGGTTTTAAACAAATTTTAATTATTATTAGTCTTATTTTGTTTGTTACAGAACCGAAAATGATAATAGTTTTCTAGAAGTAATATGTCTTCCTTTACTTATTTGTTATGAGGTACTGGTACCTTTTAGCTAATGTCCAATTGAAGTGCATAGAATAGAAGCTGAGTAATTGGTATTGGTGGACAGGTTTTCATAATAGGCATCTTGGTACTATGATCACGATGACATGGACTAATTAAATGAAAACATACATTATTTCCTTTTGCTGATCAATTGTAAATAAATAATTTTCCGTTTATGTTCTCAAGACCCCACTCCAAACTGTTTTATTCGAGAGGGAACGGTCTAATCCGTGTACCCAACTACAGTAGTTAGGCACCAGATCAAGATTTCTAAAATAATTTAGCATAAAAATAAAATGTAATTTTGTAAAAATAAATAATAATGTAAATAATAAATAAATAATATATAAATTCAAATAAATAAGAATATAATATAATATATTCCTGATGAGGACATAATTAATGTCAAAATATTGGATCCCGACACGATGGCGTGCATTTCGATACTTGGAGTACGTATTATACTATCTTACATAATATATTGTACAGTATATTATTGTATATTGCCTCTACTGTTATACACCGAATTGTAAAATGAAAGAAAGCAGACGACTTGGGAATCTGATGACGTCTAACCCACCGATGTCGAGTGCGCGTTGATCTCCATGTGTAAAATGTTCTTAACAGATTTTGTTATGGATTCCAGCAATAATAACCCATGTCGTGAATTCAAAACATCACTGAGCTAATACATTTTAGTTTTACATTTAAACTTGGTCACATCTCAGCAGAGATATAAAGAATGTTATTGAGAAATTTGCTCCACAAACATGCCATAATTATGCCATATAGCGACTATAAAACCTTCAGCAGTTTTTAACTTAACTGCAAGTATCTTCACTTTACTGTGCATGCAAACTGTTTAACTGCGTAATCTGGGTAGAACGTCATTTGTAACGCTACCGTTTTTAACCCATTAAATTTTAACTGTTTGTTAAATATTCTATACACAGTGTTAATTTAGATGTTACTTGTTTGGAGTGACTGAAATCGTCAACAAATGTCAAAATTAATAAGTCAATAGTGGTCCAGTTTAAAACCATTAAATGTATAATCCTTTTATGACCAACCTTTTACAGATTTTTGTAGAATTAGGAAATATCTCAAACCTAGACATGCCCTGAAAAACACAATTTATTCTCTATATATAAAGATGATACAGAAATGCAAAAAAATAATTAGGTAATTATTTCCTGATTTTTTGTATCTGAATTGCATATAAAAAAAACAAGTGCTATAAATATAAATGTTTTATAAAATCATTAGGGTGCCAAATATCATAGGATTGATATTTTCCTGATGCAAACTCAAATTTCAAAATTGAAATAGCCTTTGCAGTACCTGCTGCTACTTGGGGGTTGGATTCAACAAGTGCAAGCTCGGTGGTCTACTGGTTATGACACCAGGCTAGTTATCTGGAGGTCATGGGTTCAATTCCCACCTTAGTCATTTGCAGATTTTTTTGCACAAGTATTTAGGAACGTACTAAATAATCGAAAAAATGGTCATTAAAAATCATACATATAGATTGATTTTACTTATTGTGTTAGAAAACAAAGTGTAGGCTGTGAATATTGATTGGTGCTATTAGATAGTCATAATAATATTCACTAACTGGCAAATATGTTAGATATATTTTTTTATTTTTTGTATTTTTGTTTTGTTTTTCAGTCTTTCATGTTTACTAATCAGTTCCAGTTATTTTATTGGTTTATGTGAAAGTAATTGTTGCTATGTTTGTTCGATAGTGAATAACTTGACTAACATCCATTTTCATTTGTACGTTTAAAATATGAATGAATTAAACAAGCAGCCCAGGCCAAAGATTAACAACATATGCGAAACATGGCAAGGTACAGTAGGAACGTGATATCAGCGTGTTTAATTGTGGAAACAGAACACCATCTTCAAATATAGGAGTACATTAAAGATAGATGTTCATATTTTGAACAGTGAATCCCTTTGTTAAATCAATGTCGTAATACCGTAGATATTCAAGATATATCTTTGAACTTTGAACTCTATGACGATTATTCAACAGAAAACCTTGCTTTGCGAATGAAATCACCAAGTGAACTAGCCAGAATATTTGGAGGCGGGAGTTGGGGTGTAAAGGCGGTCCAAGACAGTAAGTTGACATCACTGACCTTTGACCTTTGCAACCGCTGTGCTAGCCCTATTATTTTGTAACGCATCAGTCAAAAGACTTTTATTTCTTTTATAGTTTTTTTTTAATTATGATTTTGCATCCGTTTATTTTTTTTCTGGTAACCTTTGCATTACATGTTGTTTTCAGTTACGTAGATGTTCTTTTATGCTTTTGTGTCTGTCGCTAATGAATTTAATTTTCTAAGTTTGGTAAGGAAGTAGATCCGTGCATGGTGTTAACAAGAGTTACAATTTTGGGCCAAAATATCCTTTATTCCTAAGACTAGATCCTTATATTGATGCAAATTCCTGAATCAAGGATATTTGCCATAATTGAATGAAAAGTACAATAAGAAAATATTAGAATAATCATTTATCAATTGTAGTTATATTATAAGGCCCTATTTTAGTGACTTGAATGATGAATTGGTCCGGCTTTCCCCTCTCTTCGTGTTAATGTATGAAGCCAGAAGGGATATCTCTTCCATAAGTTACTCATTGGTATTACATGTTTTTAGTCCAGCGTATTATAAGATTGATAATACTATCTTATTAGACATGTGACAAAATTTAGAAAAAAAAAATTAAGCCTTTGGAACTTAATCCTTGTGATAATCCTTAATGATATTTCCATCACTTATTCTGTAAAACATTCCTACTAATTTGACCCTCTTCATCGTATATCTCCTTTGTTTAAAATTTTCCTTTTTGGATGATTTCCTTACTTGCCTTTTATATATTTTTTACATCTCCTTTCAGTCATTGATCTTTCCCTCTTTTTATACTGTGCACTGCATGTAAAAAAAAGAAGCTGTAAATTGATATGTTGATTTGCCATGGCATGCTATTTTTGAATGGTCTCTGTGTGGTATGTTGGGGAAATAGTTTTTTGGTTGAAGTATTGGAAGCTGTATTACTGCCACAACAATGGAAATGGTAACCAGTGTATGCATTTGTAGCTGTTGAGAGCATGGTTTCATTTGTATTTAATAGTGTGTCCAATTTGTGCTTGCTTATATTTAATTAATAGGTACTATCTAGATAATAGGAATTATGTTTTTATGTTGACCACTTAAGAAGGTGCATAATAAATTGTGGATCTAGTGTGTTATGTTGTCCATTGTATGTAGTCTACAAGCATTTGGAAAATGTACCTAATTGGCTTATGATTATGTCTCAATATTTTTACCATTTTTGTTTTAAGTATTTTAAAAATAAATTAAGTTGATTTACCAGTTTTAATATTCATTGATGAACATATTTTTAACCACTATGTCATTTTAAGTTATTTCATTTTTAAAAATTTGTGTGTAATATTAATTTATTTCTGTGTGGTTAAGTTTTATGAGATAATATGTTTAATTTCATTTTGGGAACTAATTTTAAAGTTGGTTTTTATTCTTTTTGTGACTGCTTCATTGTAATTCTGCATTTTAGTTAAACTATCTGAATACATAACCAAATGTATCTCACAATAAATGAATGAATAAACGATATTGAGTAGAGTCAAGTCAGGTTGATGAGAATGATGGAACACAATGCCCTTTTAAAGCTGACTGAGTCAGATTCCTAATGTCCTAGATTACTACGATTGTAGTGTCATCTCGTAGCTTTGTCTCTACCTAGGCCTAGATTAATTATCTGGTAATAAGCAAACCCCTGAGAAATGTTTCCTCAAACCCTGTGACTCTGCAAGTTTGGGGGGTTTTTTTTCTGCTTGGCCTAGCTGGTCCTCCTAAGCAATATGCTACCAATCGCGTATTTGTCATCACGATTGATGTACTCTCATCAAGACAGGAAATGCAGGCCTACTGCAAAAACCCAGCGGTAGGCTAAAAAGCAAGCACAACCACAACCCTGGAACAATCAGTCCATATTATACTCAGACAGGAAACGGGCTTAAGATGTATTCTCGAAAGATCATTACTGTTACAGCTGCCATGTTCGTTTTACATTCACAAAATTAACGTATGGATTTTTTTCCCCGAGTTAAAAATCGCCACCAAATTGTCTTTGATTTTTGAAAGGTATTGACTTCTTATTCTCGCATTAACTTTTTGTTCGAAGTCAAAAAATTGATTTTTTTTTTCAAGCTAATGTAGATTTTGAATAAATTATATAGCTACTTTATTCTGACCTTGGATTGGATTTTACAATTTGAAGATTTAAATGCACTGGTTCTGAAATTTATTTGAATATTGATGATGGAAATAAAAATCAATGAATAAACCCAAAAGGTGTTTTAAATTGAAAATGCTTCTTCAAAGTCTTCATAATGAATTTGAAGTCATTTTCACCACTAAATGAAAGGACTTTTTTATGTTAAAATATGTGTTGTTGAATAGAATTGTTATATTAAACATAGAATATAAATTAATTTAGTTGCAACTCAGAAATCTAAATGTATGAAATAAATTATCACTTACAAACATATATTATTACACTGATTGATGGTAATAATAACACTATACTAACTATAGCAAATAGCACCCATTCTACCTGTACAACAAAAATAAACAATAAAAACTTAAGTAAAACTTTATTGTTGAAGTAATATTGTTGGAAAAAAGAAATATCAATAACTAGCCAGCTAGTAAAATATCATACTAATACACAATAGTGCTTTTACATTTGAAAATTAACTAATTAAGGTGAACTATCAACCTGTTCCTATATTTTTTTGCATTCTCTTCTTGGATAGCTCCTCTAGTCTAGATCAAGTCCATTAAAGTGAATCTAACTACCTAATTAACTTCTGCCTTTGTTGGCCCGCACTAAATAATTCATCCTATTATAAAAATAAGCCCCCTATCCTAATATTGTCGAATATTAAGTCTCATTTAGAGCTTTACCGATAGCTCGTATTGTGTGCTATGTGTATGTACCGGTTAACTTTGAATGCAAAGTATGAATTACGAACATTTATCTGATTGCATATAAATAACCAGACAGGATATAAAACCAGGAGTACTTGCCATCTGTGTAGTTATAACAATCCCTAAAACATATGGGAAAACCAGCATTACGGATGTACTTGTGGTGTGATCTAGAACTCAAGCAAGTAAAGTTACGTATGCTATTTAATTAACTATTTAAAGGTTACTAATTAATTAAAGAGTGACATTCAGCAATAGTGATCTTGATCTTCCTCTATAAAATCGACAAAGATTGACATCATTTTTTTAATTAATTTCGTAAAACATAGTTTACCACTTGCTTCTCTACTAGCTCTAACTTGGTATTTCAAGAGAAACAGTAAAAAATGTGAGCCTGTGACTGTAAATATTACATGGTTTGCAAGGTCATTTAAGTCATAACCCAGCCATTCAACAGTGGTCTTTGACTTATAGTTGTCTATCACATGATTCCTGGAACATCCAGGCATGTGATCACTAAAGAATAAGTAAAGAACTTGTGATCAATTCTATGACTTTAAAATAAGGAATCATAAGCCTAAGTAGTGTATCAGGTGGTTTTTTTTTTTTGCCAATATTCCATTTTTATAAAAATTCCCATAAAATTTATGATAATTGTGCTTTAATAAGACAATATGTTTTTGAGAATTGCACTGTCAATTATATGAAATGTTACGCCAGTCACATATTCATAATCCTACTGTTGATACTTATGCAGTGTGGGGCCTATATACCAGCCTCGCTTTGCTCCATGTAAATTGAACACTTTTATTTTATATTTATACTTCCTTTACAATAATAAGTAATAAGTAATTTGGTGGGTGGGTGGGGGCGGCATTGCTGGAAAATAGTGACCTGAAGGAGCTATTATTACCTGAAGGTCCACAGGGTACAATGAAGTTGGTAATGTTAAGATTGCAAATTATATGAACAAATATTAACCAATTTTTTATGCCTATTGATAGACAGTAATTTCTATTAATTTAAAATGCCTAAAATATTAAATCATCATGATACAATTACATTTTAACCTACCATACTTTATATTAACCGTTAATTTTGTTTACAAATTGCTGTAAATTTGTATTTGATTTGTAAACCCTCTTTAATGTCATTTTTGGATATCGACTAATGCATACATTGCTGATAAGTGGTGGCACAATGTTACCTGTTAATGAAGCATCAGAGGACTGGTTACAATGCGTAATCTGCAGGCATTCCATTGTCCATAGAGAGCACTTGATGCCATGAATTAGTGTATCACCTGCTATTTTTTTTCACCCACATTATGAATCTGTTCCACCATTGAAAAGCGAGATCCAGTGTGTTATTTTAGTGTATACGGATTTCTAAATTAAGTTGGTCTTAGCCATGGGTCTTTAGGAACCATTGTTCGTCCACACATATTTGTTTGTTTTCCCCCTTTGTGAGCAGCTTTATTTCAGGAAATTTTTCTGCCTGGATTACAAATAATGTTAATGAAATGATTATGTTTGCTGTGCTACAGGTCACAGAGTTTAGATAATAAGAGACCCATTTTTAATTCTTTTATAAGAATAATTTTTAAATGTATTGTAAATCTTAAAATAGCTAGACAATTCTCTTGAGTATATATTATATGCAGCTATGATTATGTATTTACTCTGGTATAAATAGTATTAAATGTATAAAAAGTAAATTCATAATTTTTTAATGGCTGCCATCTTATCATTATCAGAATGGCTAATATTTTTTATTTTTTTGTTATTCGCTTGTGGTATGCTTAGTGGTCTAAATATTGTTGGTGCTTTGAGTCAATTTTTTTGTGGAAATGGCGTTACAATTATGCTACCATAACCATTAAATAGATATAGATAAACAAAACATTTAATTTTTATTAATTATTATTAACTATTATTATTATTATTATTGCTATTTTATTGCTATATTACATTTATTTTTTATGTTGATCTGCTGGATCTATTCTAACTTTTGTAGATAGGTCTGCTCTGTGTTGATGTGTCAGTATGCATATAATGGTCTCGGCTTCTCCTTGCATAGAACCTCGCGCTTAAGAACGTGCGAA